TTTCTCTCTCCCTCGGTGTTTAGGCATTTCTCTTGAGACTTCTATTATATTCCTATTAAATCTCTATCAGGTTTCTATTACAATGAAGCCGAATCAATGTGTTAGCCCAGTGTCCAGAGGGTGTCCCTGGCACCAAGGCAGCCTCACAGCCTTAGCAGGTCTGAGCCCCCCCAGCCCTTGTACCTGCCCTGAACCCCTCGACTCAGACTCTGCTTTCCTCTGTAAAACCACGGCTTTGCTCAGAGCTTTTCCACCACTCACTGGATGGGGCGGTCGCGAAAGGCTCACGGTTGTATAAGTAACCAATAAATTATATATATTAAAATGCCTGGTATCGTCTGCTGATTTCCACAGCCCATTTTTGAGGGCAGCCCAGAGCGGGTGGGCTTGCAGGACTAAGGGGATCCCCTCGAATGGCACAAGAGACCCCAGCAGCTCCACGAGCAGGGGAGTTCACATCAGATAATGAAGCTGGAGTTGCTCAAGAACACGCAGGGAAGCACCTGCGGGTGCTGAGAGGAGCGCTAAGGGGATTTTCCGGATTTATTTACCCCTGGAGATAAGGGAAGGGCCACGATCTCTAACAGCAGTGGATTTTAAGCCCTGCGCAGTGACCCCTCTGGGTCACCCACCCAAAGGGGTGATGGGGCTGGAGCGATGCTGGGGGTCTCAAGTGCCCCTGGGGATGCCCATGCCCCCCTGGGGGGGACGCTCCTCCTGGGGCAGCAAACCCAGGTTTGGCCAAGCTCACCCCATTGCAGCCCCAATTGTGGGTCTGGGGTACCCCAGGCTCAGAGCCACCCCATCCCATGGCCGTGGATGGGGACACAGCACAGGCACTGGGGACCCGCCGTGGTCCTCAGCCGCACGCGATGGAGGGGACGAGCAGGACCAGGGGCGCTGGGGCTGTCCTGTCCCCATCGCTGCCCTCCTGGGACAGCGGCCCCGACTCCACATCCCCGTCCCAGCCCGATGATCCCAATCCACATCCCGCCGGCGGATAAACAAAGCGCGTCTGGGTCCCCAGCGCACCCCCCGCACGCATCCCGACAGCTTCACACTGCGCCCATCCCGTCATTAGAGGGTCATTTGCAGGAGCTGTCAAGGCTGGGCTAACCCCTGGCAGGAGGCGATGCACACAGAAACCCCGAGATCTGAGCTTTTGAATAAATAAAATTACATGGTTTTTTGCTTCTTCCTCCATAAGTTTGCTATCCCCTCTCAAAAAGTGCTGTCACATCAGTATATGACAGGAGGTTTCACCCTCACCAGCCCCTCGCCCCCCAGGA